TACTATTAGAATAATAATTGAAATGATATCAATGCACACATTACTCAATCACATAATTTACATCAAAATTAAGAACTAAGGTCCTTGGCTATCTCAGGAAACTGTATAAAATAAAAACCTTTAAAGTAATAAAACAAACTTATCTCAGAAGAGATGTGAAAATCTGGTCAAAACTTTATCTTTGTGAAGAATACTACTATAAATACTCGAGCAAGTCAAGTCCGTTTGCTCTACTCAATTGTTACACCCAAACTGACTACAAAACGGCACGGGATTTAAACCCGCCAAGTAAATTCTGCTGAACAAATAAAATGTTATGGATCACAGTTAAGACATTTAAGTTAGTTATTTACATAGCGAAAAATTGTATGGTAAAATATATAGAACGATGTTTGGACGTTAATTGTGACAGTGATCAAAAAGTTCGCGAACTATCTCTATATTTACAAAACCACAATTCAGACCAGAATGAAATTTGGCATACAAATAGTCATACACATGTTCTATAAATAGCAAATCAAATGTAATGTTTCTCCATGTTTGTGACGTCACAATGTGAAAATGACGTCAATATGTTGATGTCTTGTGACAAAAAATGGTTGACTCAGTCGTACTCGAGCAACAAACGGCTGTAAAGTTTAACGTATATCTTGGAAATTTCTTTGCAGTAGCATATAACAATTTGCGCAAGGTTCAAGAAGACAAAAAAAAATTGCCAGCATTTTAATCATTAATTGGATTGATTCTTTTAGTGAAGGAAGGGAGATGGTTAAAAATGATGATTGTTCTGTTGCCCAGTGGAAGCAAGCTGGGGAAGAGATGTGTCCTTAGTTGAGCAATTTGTTATGAAAGATCGCAAGTCACGGTTAGAAAAATAGTTGGATATCTTAACAATAATATAATTATAAAATCCCTAAAATGTCGTTTGCTTTAGACTTCAAACATATCAGATATGATAAAAAGAAGGCATCCATGCTTTATCAACACTGGATAAACGACGCTCTTAAGACAGATGACTCGGGTTGTGATGATCACCATTCTCATTCTGTGAAAGGATATCCTTATCCACCCATCCTGTTGCCGAGATTTGGTCATTTCTGACAAAAGGACTGTTCTTGTTATAAAAAATAACTTGCATGGTAAGAGATATAAGACTCGGAAAAATCTTTTAGCTTCTATGAACAGAACGCTATGGAGCATGTCACGTGACAGCCTGGATCACGTGATTGGCGCATAGGCAGAACGGTTTTAGATGTGCATTAAAATTAGAGATGATTACTTTAAAAAATAATGAACACTGAAACCTAATTTTATTTCTTTTATGGAAGTAATTCAATTAGTTCGCGAACTTTTTGATCACCCCTCGTATATTACTAAGGCAGATTCAACGAGATTCTTTAATTAAATTTATCTTGACCTTAGTTTGATTTTTCTTGAAATTATATTTGAATTTGACATGAAATATCTTTACTTTATATAAGGAGAATTCACCATATTTTTGGAAATAATCTATTATGAACAAAATTAATGGAGTATACAGTTATGTATTTCAAAGGGTTTCGATGTACCTGACGCACTGGAGTGTGATGATATACTTACTCCATTTATGGTTCCCATAGAATTTAAGTCTCTTCGTCTATTGAAAGGGCCCAACTGTGTGCCAAGAAAATGTGCAAGCACTGGTTCGGGTTTTCATATTTTTCTCCCTTTTCTAGGGAGTGTATTTCACGATTTTAATGCAGTATGAAATAATTAATGATGGTGATGATCCATATGTGATCACAAGACTACAATAATACATAATTGGTACAAATAAGAGCGCGTCGTTTGTTACGTCAATTTACAAGTAAAATTGATACGAAGCATAAAAATTGATACAAAGCATAAAATCGGTTCAAAACGAAATTAAGCATTTTCAAAATTACTTTCACAAGTAAGTGTCCAAGAAACGGGCAAAATCTTTCAGACTGTCTTAAAAAAATCCACAAATTGAAAGATAAAAAGAAAGGGGACATTTTTCCGTGCATTTATTATTCACATTTATTCATCGATATGAATATCAGTGATAAATGATTAGAATGTATTGTTATATTCAGATCAGAATAAAGTTTCCAAGTTGTGATACCCCGAATATTTATCACGTTATGATGCGATGATTTCTGCAGAATACGCTGCACGGGGCGGTGATGGACAACACAATTAAGAATACATACAAAGTGAATAAAAAGTTATTGTGTCATTCGTAGCATATTCAAAACAAATCTGACCAACTAAACAATTTTTTTAATCATCACTTTTGCCACTGTGATGATATTAGTATCTAATTTATCGATTTGCGTTCATATCTTACACTCTCCAATGTTGGGGAGTTGCTATTGTAAACTCTTTTTTAAAAAATCAGAAATTAATAATTATTTGATGACAAAATGAAAATAAAATTAAAAATTTCATGCAAGTTTTTAAAATATTGTACTCATGCATGTTATCACTTACGAATTATTTTAAAAAAGGAACGTCTCATTTCCGCATCGTTCACTTTCTCTAGACCTCTAAAACATGTGTTTCCTATTCGATAACATGGCATTCATATTCGAAAACATGCGATTCCTATTCGATAATTTTGTTATTCCTATTCGATAATTTTATTATTCCCATTCGATAATTTTATTATTCCTATTCGATAAATTTGTCATTCGTATTCGATTATTTTGTGTGATTTATATGCAATAAACTTGTTATTCCTACTCGAAAATATATCAATCATACTCAAAAACATATTACGATTCCTATTCGATAATCGTGTTATTCTTATTTGATAATTTTATCATGCCTATGCGATGTTTTCTTATTCTTATTCAATAATTGCATTCTGGATAATATGACAAAAATTAAAACTTATTGGTTATAAATGTTAAAGTAAGTCTTGGCGGGAATCCTAAGACAGTTGCTGGAGGGCCGGATAGGAACACGTGCCGAGGTAACTGAACGTTCTTGTAAGCATAAGCCTTTTTACGTGGACTACGACCCTCCCGAGAATTCAAGATAGAGTATAATTTTGTTAAGTTAACATGTGCGAGCCTCCATCCATGTTGGCGGGAATCCCAAGACAGTTGCTGGAGGGCCGGATAGGAACACGTGCCGAGGTACCTGAACGTTCTTGTAAGCATAAGCCTTTTTACGTGGACTACGACCCTCCCGAGAATTCAAGATAGAGTATCATTTTGTTAAGTTAACATGTACGAGCCTCCATGTGGAGCCAAACTACTTTACTTTTCATTATCCAATGAAGAGAGTCGTTACAATGAATTTATCGAATAAGAATAACAAGATTATCGAATAGGAATTGTATGTGATATGTTTTTTTTTCAATAGGAATAACAAGTTTATCGAGAATAAATCATTTAATTATCGAATAAGAATGACAAAATTATCGAATAGGATTGATAAACTATCCAATAGAAATAACAACTTATAGAATAGGAATAACATTTTATCGAATAGGAATGATATGATTTAGAATAAGAATAACAAAGTTTTTGAGTAGGGATAACAATAAGTATAATAATGCAACGTTTTACTCACCATATCCGTAAATGAAAACAGGAAAAATTGTAATTCATTGACAATTTTCTTATTTTCTTTTCTCAAAAAGTTGTCACTTTGTGAAGCATATTTTGATGATAACTACGGAAATGCTCGTATAAAGTTTAAAGTAGTTTACTCTTCAAATGAGGTCAAAATGCCTTTTATACTTTAATATGTAAAATCTGTAATTCTGATTCATGTTAATCCTATAATGTTCGATAAATACATGTACATGTATATCGGCGTCATATTGTTCATGTATATTTTGAATTTGTATTTGGAGTATGGTAAGAAATAACTCCTATTTTTTTTATATATATATAAAATATTTTCAAAGTGCATCATAGATCAGTTATAATATCTGACCTCAGTCTTATGACACCTCCTTTTCAAGGAAGTAAAAAAATAGAAGGATTCCTATTCGCATTTATTTGTGGTATTTCTTGGATCTATGTGTTTGCTCTTTTCATGGCAGATATTGTTTACGGGTTTTATGAGATCAATCATTGATCGTTATTTTTACCATTCCTGATCCATGTCAACCTAATATAAATCAGCATGAGGCTGTCATGGATAATTCTTGGTGTTGAACTGATGATCACTTTTGAATTTACATATTGTAAGTATAAATATATAGTTGAAATATGTGGCATCTCTACAATCTGCAGAACAAAGAAAGTGTGAATTATATTAGAAACATATACTTTGAAAAGAATTTCGTTAATGAATTGTCTTTGTCTTTTTTTTTTAAATAAGAGATCTGTCAAGCAAAAGCTGTTAAGATATAAAAAAAGAAATTAAACAATTATGGTTTAGCAAATACAGAGGAGGACATTTTAGCTTAAAAGGAAGCTTTTAATTTAAAAGAAAATGCGTAATCCAAAACAAGCATCTTTAAGTCAAGAATAACTACAGAGATTTGGATTGTGTGGGTTTTTTCCCTCAGCCGATGTGCACGGGTCTCAATCTATGCTTAAAGCCGCAATTTTTATTTATCATAAAAATGATATCTATGAAATTCGAGCAATATACCTATAATATCATTATGTAGACGATTGGAATCTTCTTCGGACATCAGAAATTGTTTAGATATTCTGATAAACAAAACCTGTCAAAGATGATTTTGTATATTTTGTCTGCCACGGGTCTACAGTTTGTATAAGTTTATTGTACTTTCACAGCTCAATGCATTGACGGAAAATGTGACAACCATTGTCAAAGCCATCTAAATTCAAGCTGTACAGCCTGTGTCAAGGGATGGAGTGGAAGTACACGTAACCGTTGTCAAAGAGGCATGGTTTTTTTTCTTCTTAACCTACTTTATAGATCTAACGAATGTCATGTTAATCACTTAATCTTTTGTAAACAGGAAATAAATCAGTTCCTTCAAGTATTTTATCTAAAATTGTCATAAAATGTCTTTCCTCTCTCAAAATATGAAGATCACCATCAGTACACAGTTACATAGTTTATTTGTGCTATTGTGAATTTCTTCAAAAAATATTCACAGCTTTTATCTTTCTTCACAGAAAATGTAGCCCTGAACAAGAACGCAACGCTGACGTCGACTGCAAAAGATACAAGCAGTGTAAAGCTGGCAAGATATGCCGTGGACGGGGATATATACACAGAAGCCAAGACAATGCCTCAAAACAACCCAACGATGACAATTCACTTAGAAGAAATTACAACAATCAAATACATGGAGATTCATTTACTTTTAGGCGAGATCCATTAATATTTCTTCATTGTTTCTAATACTTCTTCATTATATTTTGATACTTCTTCATTATATGTGAAACTTTGACATCATATGCTAATTACAAAAAAAAATGTAATACTTCATTATATGCTGAAAGTCTGTCTTTATATAGTGATAATTCTTCATTTTATGATGGTAGATTGCCAGTATATTCTGATACTATTATATATTGACATTGTATGTTGATACTTCATCAAATATCAATTCTAGTTGAATTTGTCTCAAAATATTTTCACCACACAAAGGGACAGTACAGCGCATCTCATAAAAATCAAAATTTTCCGATAGGGTTTGGAATTTTTTACTACTCATAAATGTATAAACTTTCAGAAAATTACAAGTTTCATAATTAAATAATTAATATATCATTAAAATTAATAATTAATTATGAACTATAAAAATGCATAAATCAACGTGTAAGGTCATCACAAACAAAACAGTAGGCTTGCTACCTCGACAAAGTCGGTCAAGTAAAGACTGAAAAGTGGGCGTGGACAAGCCAATTTCCAGACCAAATTTTATTTGGGAGAACAATATGATCATTGGATGAAACGGAAGCTGGGCAGGACTCATACTGGGCTCGCGAAAATGCTCCCAGACAGATTTGTTATTACATGTTATCATTTCTAATATCGCCATCGATTTCAAGGGACAAAAAATCAGTGCAGACTAAGAATAAAAATATACATAATTATGTTCTATGAATGTTATTGTCATTTAAAGTGCAAATTGTAATGGAACTATCCCGAAAATATTTTTTTGACATTTTGCCGCGATATTGTATGATTTCTTGGATTACCCTTTTCGGACCCCAATACACAAAAAGTCAACATTTGTATATTTATTTCTTTTAAATACGTCTGAAAGCCGATTAGAAAGTACACACGAATAATAATTTATGGGAAAACTAATTGTAGTTTGCTTTTGAGAATTCTCTTACCTCATATTCTATTACAATTGTAAACTCTGCAGTTTTGGCACGTGCCCAGAATTCACGTGGTACAAATATTTCTCCGGTTTGTACGATCCCTGGATTTCCAGAAGATTTTAATTACGTTAATTGAGTAGTTTCTTAAACTATTGACTTTATACCTTATTTTGTAAGGATATATTGGGTAAATTTGAATACCCCCCCCCCCCATGTACTGCAGCCGTACTGTCTCTTTAAATCGCCAACCTCTTTTTCAGGATCGCCTTTATTTATTGCCGAAAACTTGTAAGCGATATGAAAGCCATTTTCAAATAAATTCTCCAAGGTCAATTGTGGAACATCAGTATATTTGAGTCTACGTTACCCTGGAATGAGGTTGGTTGTGATCCACCATACATAACGCATTTTATTCTAAGTTCCATCATCTCGGCTCAATTTGAAGTACCAACAATTTTAAAACAAAAGAAAAAGTAACATCATATAAAGTATAGACTCATTATGAAGAAGTAACAGCATATAAAGACAGAATATTAGCGTATACACGTGATGATAAAGTATCAAACTATAATACATGAAGAAGAATTAGCAGAGAATGACGAATTATCATCACAACATCAATGTTATCAATGTTACATCAATGTTATTTATAGAAGACAGTTGAGGCGTCCATTAGATATTGAAATGAAATCTGCATGACGGTCCCAGACTGAATTTAGATATTTATATAAAAAAAACAACAACTCAGTATTGAATTAGCATAGAATGACGAATGATCATCACAACATCAATGTTATTCATAGAAGATAGTTGAGGCGTCCCATAGATATTGAAATGAAATCTGCATGTCGTCCCAAACTGAATTTAGATAAATTTATAATAAAAAACCTACTCGGTATTTAATTCATTAGAAAGCAAGAATTTTCATGGTTATCCTAAGAAGTTTTTGTGCTCGGCAACTCCCCCCCCCCCCTTACACACACACACACCGAAAAGTTAAGTGCTCTGGGTTAATTTAAGTATTGCCTTCTTTGATACAAAGTTAAAAGTAGCTTAAGTTGTTTACATATCTCTAATTAATAGAAGAATCGAGTTCGTACAAAGTCTTTGTGGTCAATGTATCTAGACCAGAGTACACAGAGAATACCCTTTGTTCCAACATTGCGAATCCCCCAACAATGTACCACGTCTGGAATATCACATGTACTGGAGATCGTTCTCTGACTGGAAATCAGGTCTCATTGAAAGACAGACAAAACTGGGAGCATTATCCATTTTCGAAGTTTTTATATTTCGTAAGATACACTTCGATTATTTTCATGTCTAGGGTAAAATCCATATTTAAGTAACATTACTCTTTGCTTCTAGCCATTGTACCATTGATGTGTACATGTAGTGATGATGTAAGGATATGCATTTGATTTTTAAAAAAATGGTTAGTGGTTCTAATATTTAGCTCTAATTTGTAATTTTCAAACACAGGTTGTAGCAAAGGAACGTACAGCTACTTTTGTGATCGAATGTGCAGTCACTGTTTTGACACATCTTGCGATGGATACACGGGTGTTTGTGAAAAAGGATGTGTGGATGGTTGGTATGGGAAAATGTGTGATCTAGAGTGTCCATATCATTGTCTTCAACCTCATTGTAGGGAGGTCGAATACACCGAATACTTAGAATGCAAAAATCTTACAGTTCATAAAGCCAATGATACACATTCTAGAACTTGCAACAGAAATGGAGATTGTTTGAATGGGTGTGTCGCAGGTTGGATTGGGTCTAGATGTGACAGGAAGTGCTCAGAACCGCACTGTGCCCGATGTCAAATTGTCTCTAATAAAGAGGTATGCACTTCATGCCGAGAGGGATATTATATTGACGATGAGGACAGGTGTCAGCGATGTCCCCATAACTGTATTTCATGCAACAATGCATCAAAATGCACAATATGTCGTTCAAAACTTTATGGAAAAATATGTCATGAAACATGCAACGAAAATTGCATTGACAGGGAGTGCAGAATAACTGGGGAATGTTCTAATGGTTGCAGTAATAGTAAATACGGCTCAGAATGCACTCTTTATTGCGCAAAGAATTGTATTAGATGTGTCGATTACCTCAATTGCACACTCTGTAGTCCTGGTTTTTACGGAAGGTATTGCACGAAAAAATGTTTGGCAGAATGTTACAACTGCACATCGCAGTATGAGTGTTTAACATGCCTGCCTGGGTATTATGGGAGCTACTGCGAGAAAGGATGTCCCATAAACTGTCATAAATGTACCGATTATAATGACCGTACAGCATGTAAAGCTGGTTTCTATGGACAATCGTGCGAAAGTGTCTGCTTAGAATCATGCCTTACTTGTGAAGGCATTGATAATTGTACTTCTTGTCGAGCGGGTCGGTCTGGTTTTTTGTGTTATTGTAACCCCAGATGTGAAGATGGATGCGGAGTAGACAGGGAATGCATGACAGGATGTGCATTGGGCTGGTATGGCAATAATTGTTCAAAACCTTGTCTTCAGGAAAACTGTCAAGAATGCAATTAGATGACAGGAAATTGCACTCAATGTACGTCGGGCAAATATGGAGAAACCTGTGAGAAGTCTTGCCAAGAATTTTGTCTTGAATCCATTTGTAATCGGCAAGGCATATGTGACTATGGATGTAAAGAAGGATTCTCTGGAACATTTTGTCAAAGTCCAAGTTCAGGTTCAATATATTTGCCTAAATTGAAGGAAAATATTGATCATAATTATATATTTTTTTAACTTTCAACTCTTTGCTTGTACCACACTATTCTTTCTAGACTTTTTTTTTCAGACACCGGTTCTTTTGGTAAACACTTTATTTACATTATCTGCACTCTGGGAATCTTTTTGTTGGGACTTCTTCTCGTCACCATTGGAATTCTGATCCAAAAGAAAAGGTTTGGAAAAACTGAATTGTCATTCCATATATCTTTCTTCTTTTTAAAGTCAAATTTATGTGCTTATACTTATGTTTAATCAAAAAGAAATGTATTACTGAAACCTTCAATAAATTATAAACGAAACACAATTTTTGATGCAATTACATATTACATAATTATATGTATATCTGCAATTCATTGATATAAGGGATATTTCCTAATTTTTAGAAGACAAGAAGCAACGCGACAGAAAACCTACGAAACTGCAAATATTTCGCCCTGTCTTGAAAACGCAGTATATGACAGAATTCAGCCAGACCCTGTATATCATACCATTGATTGTTACAGTTAGAATTATAATTATCAAATTTTTAATTGATTTACGATACAGATTCATTGTATCTACAGTTTTTTTTAAAGATAGAACCTATGAATCATACTACTGATATTTACAACTGCAACCAATGAATTTTAGTATGAATCCTTATCGATTGAATTTGTCTATCAAATTATTAATAGTTGTATCTAGAAATGTGTATCATAAAGTTGATTGTTACAAATTGAAACTGTGTATCATACCAATGATCGTTATAACTGGAATCTGTGTATCGATATCACACTATTGATATTGACAGATCGAATCTGTGTATCGATATCACACTATTGATATTGACAGATCGAATCTGTGTATCGATATCACACTATTGATATTGACAGATCGAATCTGTGTATCGATATCACACTATTGATATTGACAGATCGAATCTGTTCATCGTACTGTTGATTTTTACTACAAGAAACTGTCTCAGACAGCTTGTACTTGTGAGCTTGTACTTATTTACCATGCAGTTAACTATTACAGTTTTAGAACTTGTGTATCATGCACCATATTTAAATCCGACATATGCACGTATATAGAACATTGAAGTAGTATTTCAGCTAGGGTAAAATTTGTGTCCGTTAAAACGTAGGAAATGATATCTTATGCCCAATGATGTCAACTTTCATACGAGGGTTGTTCGGAAAGTTCGTGGACTAAGCCAATCTTCGTTATACTATCTTCATGAAATTTAAAATGAGCTTATTATCATATGTAAAAATATTTATTTTGTTTAAGTGTGAAGTTTCATTCCATGTGATTTAATAGAATTCATGTTATTTAATTTTAAAATCAATGTTTAGTAACCATGGAGCAAACTCAACAACACTGTAACGTCAAAACCATACCGACATAAGGTTCTCAAACATACTATCCCTATATATTTCACACAGTATTGCCCAATACCAAGTTTCTCTATCACTTGAAATCTATTTTGCTAACAATTGTTCCAGTAGCATTATTTTGTTTGTCAATGTTATATTTTTTCATTGCATAAGTGTGCTTTCACAAGTTCAGCATCTGTGAAGCGCCAAACTCTCAGTATGACGTTACTAACTTTTCAATGTTTTTGATAAGATTTTTACAGATAATCCGTTTTCTCAGAGATCACCATCGTCAAAGCAGAGTAGTCTATCATTCAAATACCGCTTGTACCATATGCACGCACATGTATGACTCGCTTTTGACATATTTCCTACTTCCTCCGGCATTTTCAGATTTTTTTCTGGAGTTTTCCAGAGTACAACACAAAATTGTATAATTGTTAACTGCTGCTCCGTGACGTTCTACGACGTCATCTTTTTTGCCTTTTTAATGAGGACTACCTATCTTCTGAAACTGGTTTCTTATCACCGAAGCAAAATATTAAGTCATAATTTGGAATCAGAAACAATGAAACAATTCTTAATTTGAAAGTGTAGAATTTTTCCGTTTTTGTGTCATTTTACAGAAGATATGACTTCAGACATTATTTAGTGTCTTGATTGTTAATTTCAAAAGTTTGAAATAAGCCACGATATTTTAAAAAAATTTAATACACAACATTTGAATTTACTGTTGAAATATTTCTTTCAAATTTGGATATAATATGACGTTAAGTAAAAAAGTTATGACGGTAGTCCACGAACTTTCCGAACAACCCTCGTACGTACATTTTTATGCAGAGCTATAGAGTGCTATTTGTTGTACATGTGGTGATGTTTTTTGTTTTTCAAAATAAATACATGTACTGTGTAATTTATTTACATTTCTGTGTTTCAGTGATCCAGGTAACATTTTTCCTGAATTATTACACAATGTTTTTGCGGAATAGAAGAAAATTGCGGAATTGTGATTTATTTTTGTGGAAAGGTAATATCAATTTTCGGATAACGGTGCATCGTTATAAACAAGTTGAAATATTTTTAAAATAATATGCATGTGAAAATTAGGGTTTTGACTTACATTTGTAAAGAATTAAATGTGTGCGAAATTGTAAGGTCCATGTTAGTAAACTTTATTCATAAGCAATAAGAGTGAACCTTTCTGTACTGAAAAAAAAAATGTATAACTGCATGCGACCTGTTTCATTGTAAAGTAAATCTTATGATTTCATAAAATATTGCATCAATTTTATTTTCTTCTCAGTGTATACATAATCCTCATTATTTTGATTAAAATTATTTTTATCACGTCATTTTAACTCTTGCTGTGGCCTTTGTAATGAAATTGAATAATCATAGTGAATTGAAAGGCACCTGGAATCATCCAATCGAATCATTATATATATTAAGCCAATCAATGTTTACATTTCAGCCAAGCAGAGTTTTCCAATTATTAAGTAATCAAAAGTAATTAGGCATAGAATAAAAGGTATAAATACAGAGACCATTCTAGTTTTCTTTTACTTGGTTATTGCTCAGTGCTGTAGTAACACCTTTAGGGCTAGTTCTTGGGCTGCGTCGGGAAACAACAGAATTGTTAGTTAGACCACTCAGCTCAGGGATCTAGTTCCTTAGTGTCTTGTTGACTTTAGATTGTGTCTTGGTGACTTTAGTTTGTGTCTTGGTGACTTTAAATAATAGAGGTGTCTCACTGACTCTTTAGGGTGTGTTTTAGGTAGTTGCAGACTTTGTCGGGAAACAACAGAATTGTTGGTTAAACCACTCAGTCTGCAGCTACAGGGAAAACGTTATAGATTTGATTACTGGTGATTTATTTGTTATAGTTCGTTTTCATTTAGTTTACTAATCATTATCCAGATAGGACCGAGGAAAAATATTATAACACGGGTTTGGCTATTTTGCCAATCCCGATTTTATAATTGTCATTGTTAGTGGATCGTCTTCAGGAAGTAAACATAAGTTTGTTTTGATTTTATATTATAAGCGTGATTCTTAGGAAGGAAACCTAAGCGAACCCAATTATTAATCATTTGTATTTAGTAAAAACGTTACACCTTCAACTCAACATTTACATATTGTTTCTTCAATTAACAATAGTTACTTTCATACATATGTCGAGTTGATTTACCCCAGTGAATTCGAAATAAAAGTCACTACATCTAATAAAAGAATCTATTACATCTGTTTCATATTTGGATATTTAACTGACACTATAGACGATAATGGCCAATAATTAATTAAACTGCATGACAAACGGGATGACTTCGGGTTTTCCATCGTCAATTTAGCAACGTCGCCTACGTCGGATGCGTGGCGCAGTGGTTAGAGCGTTTGCTATAGAATCACGGAGTAAGGAGTTGATCCTTACGAAGCGGGTTCAAATACCACTGCGTGACATGTCCTTCGGAGGAGACCATTTTAACCGAGGTCACGTGTTGCAGTAGGTGCTGGTACGAAAAAGATCCCTCATTGTTCAAAGACCCTAAGTTCCGAGTACAAGACTAAGTCTAAGTTTGTAGCCCTCAACAGGCAAGTGATGGCGTCTCAATACGAGTGAAAAATTCTTGAAGGGACGTTAAAAACAAACAAACAAATCCAACATCACCTGCGAATGGCGTCTATGTCTCCAACCTGATTTGATAAGCAAGAACATATTCTGAATACGATCAATTTTTAAACCGAGGTAAGCTCCTAACAAATAAGTTTTTATTACAAGGATTTCAACAACCCCGTTTAAAGAAAGCTTTTTGCAAATTCTACGGTCGCTACAAGTATTATAGTCTTAGTTGCCACACCATTTGGCTGCGCGTCTACCTGATCAATACATAGGGCTTACAGCAGGAGTGACAGGTCGACAGGGGATGCTTACTCCTCCTAGGCATCTGTACCCACCTCTGGTGTTTTCAGGGATCCTTGTTTTTGCCCTGATTACGATTGGTTTTGTTACTATATTTATAAAATTGATCTCTGCTCGTTTTCTTCACGTTTTACATTTAAAGTATGTTCGAATGAATGCTTCTCTAGCTTATAAGATTAAAGGGATTAAAACAACAGTGTTATTTCTTTAGAAATTAAAAAAAAACAACAACAAAAGAATTCAAAACATACACACAATTATTGGTTCAGACATTTCTCATCAGAATAGTTTTTTTTAAAATATATGTTATAAAATATTAATTTAGGTAGGAAAACCTCTATTTGACCTGACAATAAAATATTCTGATCTTCCTAAAGGATATGTAACACACACACCCTCACACACACACACACACACACCCACACACACACCTACCCTCACACACCCCCCCCCCCCCCCCCCACTCACACACACACAATTGATGCATGGATCAATTTGATATATATTTTTTGACTGATTTTGAATAGAAATGATATAAATAATTAAAAACCTAAAATATAAAGAAATCGTAAGTTTTCTTTTGTGTTAAGATATGCAACTTTGTTTTGTTTTCTATGTAATTGTATACAAATTTGTGCACATATTATTAACATTATGACAAAATCTTACAATTTTTTCCAAACATTATTCAGGTTACTTATTTGATATAAATCTATGAGAAATATTGCTGATTTCTGAAAAAAGTTTGTTTGTGTTATTTATCCTTATGCTTTTTTTTTTCTTTGAATGGCAGTATCTGTATACAATCATTAAAGTTTATAAAGTTACGTGTATTGTTTGTTCTGCATCTGTGATTTTTGAAAAAGTTCTTGATTGATTATATCCTTTTTTTATTGTGATAGAACTTGTACCATTTATTACCCAAATGTCCAATTTAACTTATGCAGAAAAAAAAGTTTTTCTGCAGCAATTAAAGAGGTTTATATTGTCATCAAAATATTATTTCTATGTCAAAGACAAGTACATAAGTTACAATACTAATTAATCTTCTAGTCCTATACTAAGCCATGTTGTGTACATCGATCGTAATGAAAAACTTTTTAATGTCGAGTTTTGTTTTATAAGTGTACAATTTTCATCACAATTGAAAATATTCCTCTTTTTTAAAAAAAAAAAATTGAAAATTTAGAGGATTATTAGTTCAACAAGGACATGAAGGTTAAATCTGTTTAGAGTCATAAGAAATATTTACTTCTGATCTGGGGAATATTATGCTTTTATATCCGTTCCAATTTCAATTTATACGGATATATTAGTGTGTATCTTACAAAAGATACATAAGAGCCTCTTAAAAAGTTTCATCAAGTAAAAAATCTTGTAATTGTAGAGTACCTAATATATTTAATATTCTGCAAGAGCATGTTATGAGTACGATCAATATTTTTTTTTAAATTGAGGAAGAGTATTAACAAATAAGATGTTATAGTGCTTTTAACAATTTCGTTTAAATTCAGTATTATGCAAGTTCTATGGTTGATGTATGACCTTGTTGCAAATATAACTTATCGTTGGGATGTATTTTGCCTCGCAAATTTCATACCAAATGTTAGGTCACTGTTTTATGCCAATTATGACAATGATAATAAAAAGTAAACTTTATTCTCATAACTGAAAAACAGCGAAGAGAAGATACAATATGTACAAGGTGTACAAACAATATAATAAACAGAGAATATCAATGCCTGAAGAAGGAATAACAAAGTAAAATTAAGCAAAGAAAGCCAACTCTCTCAATTATAATATCCAACAATTTACACATTTTGCTAATTTGATTAATATTTGTTACATTAAAATGCATTTCAAATTTCAAAACCTTTGCCAATTTTGACTACGAATCAATCTGTTTACCTGAATGCATGAAAGGGCTCACGACCTGTGTCACCCGTTGAAGGGCATGATTTCTCCACCTAGACACCTTGTCCCGTCCTTGATTTCAGGGGGTTTCTACCCCGTTCACTATTTGTATTGTTTACAGCATCTATGAGATTAATCTGTTCGTTATTCTCACTTCTGAACTTTCATCAATTTTAATGAGCTGTCACTGTAGCTCATTCGGTAGAGCGCTGGCTCCTTGATCAGAAGGTCGTGGGTCGTGACCTCGATAAGAAATAGGTAGCTTCTGTTCCTTCGCCAAGCGTTCGGCAATTTGAAGTGAAAGTTGCGGGTCCTTCGGATGAGATCTTAAAAACCGAGGCCATGTGTCACGGCAGGCGTTGACCTAATACAGAACCCTCATGGCTCAATGGCCCTGAGTGCCATGTAAAGGTCTAAATTTGAAAGTCCTACAGCGGTATATGGTAACTTCTCTATTTGAGTGAAAAATTCTCGAATGGGACGTAAAACAACATGCAATCAATCAATCAATTTTAATGACCATTCGTTTCAGAGGAAGGTTGTACGCAGTGTTTTTATTTTTTAAATGCTGCCATATATAACAAGCTGTATGTTTTCTATAAAATAAATAAAATTTGAATGAGGAAAAAATTAAAATGGGGATATTCTGGAAAATGTTATCTTACCTATTCACGACTTTAAAAAGAGATTTTGAACCAGACATCATGTTAGTTAGATTTTAAAGTCTAGAAGAACCCAAAACTGTATATATATATATATATATATATATATATATATATATAGAGAGAGAGAGAGAGAGAGAGAGAGATATTTACAATTTTAAGTTAAAATACCATATTTTTGATAAAAAGAAAACTATATGCAAATAATATCTGTTTAATAAATAAATACAGTAATAAACTGATGATGAATGATGGGAAAATATGATTGGTTAGTCGCAGTGGAATACAATAGGTATATTCTCTTTTGAGATTGATGGATTGACACTTGAATAATTATAGGCACTTAGCAAAGCATCCTTAATTGTACTTCTATACATTAACGGCTTGGCAGAATTTATTCGGACAGCACCAGAACACATTCGGTATTCAGAAGGAGAGGACTGAGTGTTAAGGCAAAACGCTGTGCACATTTTCCCACAAGAGTCATGCGCAGTAATAAACACATGAGCTCCTTTATTATTTAAGGGCTTTTTAACACCTACTACACTAAGGGCAGACGAAAATTGAAATCGTTCATCGAGAAGAGCATGATCAATGTAAGATCCACGATAGTCTAGTCCAAATGTCTTCACATAAACTTTAGTTATTCCGGATCCCAAGTGTGAACATCTTTTTCTCCCTTCATTTACGGGTACTTTGTTAGACTCTTTGTAATTGGTACTGGAACTTTGATCGAAAACATCCCCAGCAGAGAAATCCGGAAATCCATGTCTAACTGGAAAGGCATCACAGGTCTGGTCCTTTGGTCTTCTTTTGTAGACGTTTACTGGTATGAAAACCCACTTACTTATGTCAGCTTCACCATCGATCATAAACGCATTTTGATAGGAATGGTAAAATGGTGTCGTTTTTGCGTTTAACCCATGAAAAACTGGTGTATTGCTTTGCAAATGACGTTGACGTCTTGCTCTCTTTGATGAAGGTAGAACCCAAAGATTGTTTTGTGTTTCTGATATCTCTCTTTTTGATCTCCTATGTAAATCCATTCTTTCAAATTCTTCAATAGTTAAAGGTTGGCACATTCTCCTCTCACATCTCATCTGTTCTGATCCACAATCAGAATCTACTCTACAGTGATACGGTGGGTTCTCGTACTTCACATATGAAGACCATATTTTCGAATATCCTACCCTATTTCTAAGATACTTGCTTTCACCATTGGCATCCTTTCCGGTTTCGAATGGCCTCATTGGTGCGTCCTGTTTATGATCCCCATCGACTAAAGGGTACCATTCAGGATCAAAACCACGTTGAACTTGATTACTACGAAACCTTTCCCACAAAGCGTCAACAAAACAATGATGCATAAAGAAAAGTGGATCAGCAGGCGAATAATCAAAATCACTAAGAGTACCACCAACCCAGTTGTGAACAGAACCATGATGAAATTCCAAGTTTGTATCTAATTCATTTCTATTAAGACCAATATCCTCAATGCGGTTCTGTCGTAGAAAGAGTTCAATAAATTCTCTGCTGAATAAGCCACCATTTGAACCAACATTTCTCATTAACACCCCGGCGTTGTCGTGTCTCCAGTCACTGAATGGACCATCTCGTATAATACCTGTACCATGACCCACGCCGCTTACAGAAAACATGGCGCTAGAGGTCGGTTCTTCCAAAAGGGTCTCAAATGAAGAATCCCAAAATGGAATAAATACATCTGGCTCATATCTTCGCAAAAGTTGCTCGACTCTATAATATTTGAGAAGAAAAAGTACTAGTCATAATTTCTACGATTAAAATTGTGAATGTGAATAAAATAAAGATATTGATTGTAAAATAAATATATGTTCTAACAAATTAAAGCACTTTTCCAAATGAAGTCCATTTTCTTTAATACAAGGTTGTTCACTCATGAATATCACTGAAAACTACTTTAAATGATCATGAATAAATTTGTATTCGATATTTGCACAGCTAAGAGTATATTTATAGTACTAAAAATTATATAGAAGCATAACCAAAGTTCGTGAAAATTATGTCTCGCGTATAATAATTAAATAATCACCTCGCAAAAATAAAAATTTACGAAAATTGATGATCTTCAATAAGTTTATTCTGTCCTATTTTGTCTTGCCCTTCATGAACTGTTCATATAACTTAGTTTGACCTCGTCTGCAAAGTGAGTTATTTTTACTATTATGATGTAGTTTTCTCTTACAAAAAAAGGTAGACACGATGAAATCCCAGAAATCCCGGACCAAAATGTGCACTGGGTGCAACTTCCGCAGGATGTAGATTCACAATCCAATCATAAACGTTGGGCTGTCTGTACTACAATAAATTGAGTTAAGTTTTCGTTCAGGGATGAAATTAAAGTGAATATTTGTTTAAAAAAAAAACATTTGAATATGTCAATACTGAAAATAGAACAAGAAAAAAGAGGCCCATGAGAGATTAAAAAATATTAATGATTTACATGAATATTGTTCTTGTTACTGCGAAGACTTGCTTTTGACCTTTCTTGTTGGAAAAAACAGTGAAAATTGAATTGTTTATGCATCCAGGTCAAATTATATAATTGAAACCAGAATTTTTTAAATAAGATTGAAGCCCTTACGTATCTTAAAAAATTACAAGACCCTCGCTCATCAAAAATCAAAAAATTAAATAAATAAATACATAAATAAATAAAATGAAGGATATGTTTTGATCAGTCTACTTGTGCACGAAATTTTATTACACTGTAAAACCTAACCAAAACTGTCCGAGCAGTGGCATTTTAAAATTAAAAAAAACAAACAAACCTTTTATTAATCATGGCAAAATAGTAACTCTGCCTTGATGTATTCTACTTGTGTACAAAGATTTGTTGAAATCAGACTAAAATTATAGGAGGAGTATCGATTTCATAGAACACAATCGGTATTTAGTGATATGGCAACATCAATTTATCGAAATCAAAAACAAACAATCGGAGTTGTTTGTAATCTACCTGTGATTCCAGTACAATTATATCAAACAAAAAATTAACAATGAGAGGAAAAACTTTTGGCAAAAATGTCTACAGACGGAAGGACACTTTGCCCTCTCATAAGCTCTTCTAATCTTTTGCGAGTAGAGTAAAAGCATACATACCCTGTCACTAGTGTCGGATTTCATTGCCTGTATTGCTCTGTGAAATCGGTCCCTTTCCTGGGTAGTCAATTGTCGGTATTCTTTTCTAACGATGGGTGTCGATCTCTTGATTCTGTTGAAAGGGGCTGGTTCCTCAATTTCGAACTTTCTGAAGATGTCGGTGATTATTTTTAGACTTTCTGGCTTTATTTTGTGAGCTTCTTTCTGGTTCCATGTTTCGTTCAAAGTTTGAACCAGATATTGGTTTTGGCAATAGTAATATACGGCATCCTCTCTTTGATAAACGAGGGATTTGTTAACATTTTTCTTACATTTATACAAACAGTTCTGCAGTATTGTTGGCAAACTCTCTTCGCATACTTTGCAAAGAACTGGATTCAGTGTACTCAACAAAAGTACAAATATGAGTCGTTGGTACATGATTAAAAATCTGTACATCTGAAAACAAGCAAGGATTTGTAAAACATAAAGAATAAAAATAAATATTTTTTATGCTGGTAAGATTGCTGCGTGATTATACTGGAACCATGTTACATCCATGTAATGTTAATTTTGTAAGGGGAAAATATGTATAATACCCTATGCAAATATAGGACTCTTTCTAGACGTCAAACTAAATAATGATCTTTACACAATACTTAGTTTCTTAAATTGTCCATCTTCTTCCATGATTGAGTTTTACATTAGAATAAAGAATAGAACATTTAAGAAATTACAAACATATTTCAATAATCTGCGATTTGGTACACGTTTCCCCCTCAAACTTGAAGGACGAATCAGAGTACGCTATAAATAAAGTTGTATTCTAATTTTTTCTTACCTTCTTTGCCTTTCGTTTTGTGAGTATCAATGCTTGAGAAAAGTATCTGTTTTTAAACGAAAGAATTCTCATTCATCATTGTTTTCTTCCACGTTTTACTATTGATATTTAATCAGTAGTTTTAATAAAAAAAATGAGTGGGCATTGATCAAACTTAAGCACGATATTCCAGCTTCAAGCCCAGAAGCTAAAACCCTACACTAAAGTACATTACATTATAAGTTTATTTCAGAAAAAATATGGTTTTAATTTCTTGGTAAAGTTTGTCCTTTCGTGAATACACCTTGTATACATCTAAAGTAGAGGGAATGTTTCGATTTATTAAGTATTTAATTCATTTTATTCAAAATTAACTGCTGCAGAAGAGAAACTACAGACGTACTGTGCTACAGCATATTCGAGATGTGGTGTAAATCGAATGTGAATTCCCCCATACTCCAAAGAACTTCTAGAAAATTTAAAATCATTTTTCCCCAAAAATCAGTAACATGAAAACGAATGACTTTTCTACACTTTAAACAGCCATTCCTCCCTATAAATTAAAAACTAAATTTTTCTTAATATAATAGACAACTTCTACTTCAATAAAAATAAACTCGGAAATTGTTTTATCTTGTCACGTGTCATCTACAAAATTATTTTTTTTTTAAAATCACTCTGATTCTACTCATAAGCACTCTGAGGTTCCTCAATGGTAACATTTCTGTAGTCTTTGGAGATAAGCCTTCTAACAATCACCGACTGTGCTTCAAATTATTTATTAGCCTACCTGTTTTTATATTCCTATGAAGCGGAATTTATTCAAAAGCTTTAACAAGAGAACAAGAAAACACTTTCTGTGGCATTCAATTCGACATTCCGATATACTGACTATGTTTTAGCAATTTACAAAAAAATCATTCATATGTCGACTGAATATATCCCAGGTAACTCGAAATAAAAGACAGCATGGATTCTGTCACATCTGCTTTATATCTGGATGTTTTACTGACAATAGACAATAAGCCCATCTAACAACTAAACTGTATGACAAACAAGAAAAATTAACTCAGCTTTTCCATCATCAACTTTCCTTATTTATGTAATAAATTCCACAATCACCTGCATATGGTGTCAACGTCTCCAAATTGATTCGATACACAAGAAAATGCTCTGAATACGATCAATTTTTAAACCGAGGTGGGCCACTGACAAATAAGTTGTTCTTACAGGGATTTCAAAAACCTTTCGTAAATTCTATGGTCGTTATAATGATCATGATAGCAATACAACATAACAATGGGTCGTATTTTGACTGACATAATATATTATATCATACTAATTGTAAGGTCTTTGTATATATACTAAATATGACTACGGATTACCTGATCAATACCTAGGGCTCACAGCGGGTGTGACCTGTCGACAGGGTATGCTTACTCCTCTTAGGCACCTGACCCCACCTCTGGAATATCCAGGGATCCATTTTTTTATGCCCTGTTCACAGATTTTGTGTGTAATTTTTTTTTTTGTTTTTTTTTTTAGATCGATCACTGTTTATTATTCTAACCTATTTCATTCAGTAAAGATGAAAAAAAAGTAATATTACAATTTTAATTCAAAAAGTACTGGTATATGATTGGTTACATTGTTTTATTTTACTCTATTGTTTTTGATAAATGTGAATTTAGAAAACTTATTTTCGGTGGTCGTCAACATGCTCGAGGAGAGGAACTTAGTAAGTTGTACAGAACTTGTTTCTAATCTTTTTGATGTACTCAGTAAAAATACGTTCAAAACAACATACTCAGAGTCCTGCACTATTTAATTAGTTTAAGCTTACACTGGCCATTGAAGTGTAGAAACATTTAATTTTTCCGAAGAGTATACATGCATGTTTGTAAAAACCTACTGTAATTCATATCTTTCTTATTGTTTAAGATTTCAACATATATATTCCTGCCACATATGAAAAATATGGTTAATCAAAAAAGAAGATTCCTCAGGTTGTCTCCCAGCATAGCAGCTCAAGGGCATAACTCAAAGGAAAACTTGCAACTTCCAAAAATAACTATTCTGATTGGACAATATGAATTTTGGAAAATGCATCAAATTTGGTCTTGTAAAAAATGTTTTCAGGACAAATCAAAAGAAAAAAAAATGTTAAACTTAAAGTATTAACATACAACATAATTTGCAATATGGTGTAATATAACATTTTTTCTTTGCTTTTTTTTTTTTCAAGTATAACACGCAGTAACTTCACAGTATTGTTTTACATATTGCATTCAGCATCATGATATTGACATTCGATACGATTGATAAGGAAATCGTGTCATCGTTCCGTTAAAATAAAATTCGGCAGCATAAATATCTCAACCCACTTTTGGAAAAAAAAAAGATTGATAACATCCCTTTTGAAATCTGAATCAGCTGTCGCATTATATTGCAGGCATGAACGGCGCTCTATAATTACCGTTATATAATTCATTATTGCTCAATGAAGGCTTTCCTTGGAAATCCCTTTTTTACCGTATTATTTTTTAGGACTGCATTATTGATGGTATTGAAAAAATAATCATTAAATCGTGTGTTTATCAGTCATTTAAAGAGGAGAGAAATTATCCTCGAGGGATTTTGCGATTTATAAAAGACACACCTTATAAATATTAAACTTAGTTGTACAAATCCACTGCGATAATTGGATAGGAGGGGTCA